CTGCAGCTCTCCTGAATGCTCCTCAGCTTTCCCAGAGCCATGTCATATTTCCAGCACTTAATCCTTTCCACAGAAATTTCAGAGGCCAGTACTGACTCTCTGTCTTAGCAATGTTCATGAATTAGAGAATTTTTGGGAGCAGGTTGGTTTTGTTTGGAGCTCATCTCGGAGGGAAGCTATTTGATTTAGCCTGCAGTCTCTGAGGAGCCCAGAAACCCCTGGCACAGCGGTACCCGGGGGTACAACTGCACAGGCTGCCCGGGCAACAGGCGAAAGAGTCACACAGGGCCTTCCAATTATATTTAAAATGCTTCCAGTTGTATTTGAAAACATAATTAGGCTGCTCAGGCTGAACAAACAGCTTGTTTGGACTGAGAGGGAGCAAAAAATCTGTTTTTCTGCACATCTGTGCCCATGGTTATTAAAGCCCATTCACAGATGCTGTGATGTGAGCTGCTCGAAGCCCCTGCCTCTGGAGAAATGGGAGCAGGTGTGGAGTGCTGGAGCAGTGGGACCAAGGGGCAGCTCCTGCAGCCCCCGGGCACTGCTGGGCAGGGTCCCCAGCACAGCCCTCCAGGGGAGCCCCTGAATGTCCCCAGGGTGCCAGTGCAGAGCACTCCCGGGGCTCCTGCAGGACAAACCTCCACCTTTTTCCTCTCTTGCTTAGAGAGGTCAAATCTGCCGGACACACCGAGCTGGTCGGGGTAGTGTCACAGGCACCGCTGTGCTCCCCAGCACTGGCTCTGCAGAGTGGGGACATGTGCACGCTCAGGAGGGTCCTTCCCACTCCAGATCCGCTGGAATGAGGCAGCTCGGTGGGACATGAGCATCAGCCCCTGGCAGAGACTGCAGCTCAAGCCAGCACCGGGTTACCACGGTTGGTACAAAGGATGCAGAGCTGCCACTCCAGAGCACCCCTGCCTGCCCTGCCCTTCGCTCCATCCTCCTCCTCCTCAGGGACTCTGCAACTGGCTTCAGCACAAGCTCTCATTTTATTAAAGACCTTTGGAAAACACTGGCTCCGGTAACAGGAAATAAATAGCTATCAATTTCGCATTCAATTAAAAACTGTTATTAACAGTAAAGTTCGCCGAGGAAGTTCTGCAAAGGTTCTTCACATTTTGGAGTCGCTCATTTTCACGTTAATGAGGAGGTCCGCGGCGTGCTCTGATTAAAAATGAAAGTAATTAAAAGCCCCGAGCCGTGCGAGCCTCATCAGTGCCGTGGTCTGGGGCGTGCCCCGGGGGACACGGGGGGCGTCACACCCGGCTTTCCTCCTCTTCCACTGCCCGGTGGAAGCCTGGGATGAATTTCAGGAGATGCTTGCGAACGCTGGCTCTCCTGCTCTTCCTCGGGAGGGTCCCGAAGCTGCTGGAGCAGCTGCTGCTGAGCCGGAGCGGGGACGGGGAGCCGCTGCTGGCCAGGCTGATGCTGCGGTTCCTGCGCAGGGAGCTCCTGGCCGCAGCTCCGGCAGCATCCCCGGGGAACACACAATCCTCATCCGTGCTGGACTGCCGGCTCAGGCTCCCTGCCCCACAGTCCTCGCAGATCTGCTGGAAGCTGTCCTGGCTGCCCACCGTCATGGAGCTCAGGCGGCTGCGGGAGCTGCTCTCGCTGGAGAAGCGGGGCTTGGCTGGGAAGAAGGGTCCCGGGGAGCTGCTGGGCTCCTCCGGCTCCAGCTCCCCCAGCAGAGCGGTGTCAGTCTCCTCCCCTGGGACAGGAGCCGGAGAGCGGCGTTAGGGGCACAGTCAGGAGCGCATTCTCCTTATGGGAGCTGCTCCATCCCATGCGGGAGCTGCTCCATCCCATGTGGGAGCTGATCCATCCCATGTGGGAGCTGCTCCATCCCATGCGGGAGCTGCTCCTGCTTTGGGAGCTGCCCCCTGCGCCCTGCCCCGAGGCAGCCCATGAAAAACCAACCCAGAGAGCTAAGACCAGAACGAGAATGGAAAACAATTTCCCACCCGCACAAACTCACACCCTGGGACAGACTGAGAGCCCCGTGTGCGCTGCTCGAGCAGAAGCAGCAGTTCATTACATTTACCCTCGGGACAAACCCAGGCCGGGGAGGGCAGAGGAGGCAGAAGGATGGCAGGGGGGCTGCAGAGGAGGCAGAAGGAAGGCAGGGGGGCTGCAGAGGAGGCAGAAGGAAGGCAGGGGGGCTGCAGAGGAGCTGCCTGGGGACTCGTACCGTGCAGCAGGAGCCTCTCCCGGGCCAGCAGCACCCGCAGCTCTCCCCACCGCTGCTGCAGCGCCTGCTGCGGGGACAAGGAACAGCTCTGTCACTCGGGGAAGCACAAAGCACTCGGAAAGAAGCCAGTCTGTAAAAGTGCGGGTCAGGAAACACTCGTGTGTCCCGCTTTTACTCAGAAAATTTTCCCAGAGTTTAGGAAACGCCTTCCAGACAACAGGATTCCCTCTGGCCCGAGGGTGCTCGGCCACATCCCATTTGGGAAAGGAGCAGGCTGAGAGCTGCAGAGCACGGAGCCCACCTGCAGCCAGCTGGGGCAATGCCACAGCTCTTCTGCAGCCCTGCCCACCCTGCAGCAGCCAGCAGGAGCAGGCACCCCACTCCTGCTCCCATCCTCACAGCCCTGCCTGGCTGGGAGCTGCCAATCCTGAGAGCCCCAGTGGCACAAGGCATCAAACAGCTCTGCTGCAGGTCAGCTCTTGGGGAGAATAAACCACCTCAGGGTTGATTCAAAATCCCAAATCCCCACCGGCCCAGCTCTGTGCAGCTGGACATTCCTACACCCAAACCACAGCCTGAGCTCCCCTGGGCAGCCCTGGGATGGGACCACATTTCTTCTCTATTCCTGGTTTCTGAAAATAACACCAGAGGGGCCAGGGCTGGGGTGCTGGCAGCAGGGAACCCCCAGTGTCATCCCTTGGCAGGCCCCCCGTCCCATGGACACCCACCTGCCCCCATCAGCAGTGAACACACATCTCCATTTGACAGTGGGACAAGTCCTTCACCAGGTTACCTTGAGAGCCTGCAGCCTGCTCTCCAGCTCCATTTTCCTCAGGAACAAGGCCCCGTTGATGGTCTCTAACCTGTGGGAACGGGGGATGCTGGCCCTGGAGCAGAGGCTCTCCCCAGCCCAGCCCTTGGGATTTCGGTGTCTCAGTGCAGGGCTGTGGGGCAGCGTGATCTGCCACAGCTGGGAGAGGATATCAGGCCAAACCCCACCTGAAGGACAGACACCCACCTCAGATAGTTCCCTGAAGACTTTATCAAGTCCACGATTTGCTTGTGACCAAAGCCCTCGGTGCTGACGCCGTTGATGCTGGTGAGGATGTCACCTGTCAGAGACACAGAGCAAACATCAGCAGCCTGTGCTCGCCTTCCCCCTGCTCCACAGACACTGCAGCAGGCAGAGGAAAGAAGGATCAGGCCCCCCAGGCCAGGAAAAGCCAGGGATAGTTACCAGCCTGGAGGCCAGAGAGATGGGCAGGGCTTTCCTCTTGGATTCTGCAGACACAGGTGCACACCTCCAGGGAGAAATCATTTTGGTGTGGAAACCTAATAGTCTGTTAATGCCAAAGGGACACAGTTACCCATCCTGGAGCCATGAAAGCCATCTAAAATCCAGCACTTCTGCAATGAGAAGGCTGTGATCAGCAGAGTCCATTACATGCAAGGGAGATCAAAATGCTGTAACCCAACAATTAAAAATGCATTTTTATAGCAGAAAACAGTGGACACCTGACAGGAGCCTGGACGCTGGGTTTGGGGAAAACAAACAAACCTAGTTTTAAAGCAAGCTGGTTGTTCAGTTTTTAAAACTAACTTCAGCCAAGAATATGTCAGCAGGAGTGGGAATGGCTTTCTGGAAAGATGTCTCTTGCTCCCAGGGGAACATGGCAGGATGGGATTTTCAAGGGATTGACTCTTATTCATTGGGAATGCTGTGTGGAGACAGCTCAGTTTGCATGGGAGCTGAAAAGACACAGGGTTTAAATTAACTTTTGCTCTTCTGGCCTCTGAAACTCATCATGCACACACATCCCCACACTCCTCAAAGCGCTTTTTATTCTTGACTTACACATTTAACTACACGTTAAGTAACTCTAATTACTCTCAATCCCTCATGTGGTTATGGGTGCTGGCATGAATTTAGAAAAATGCAAAAGCCGGTGCCGCAGCCTGCCCGGATCCTGCGACAGAGGAAACGTTTTCTGGTGACGTGCAAATACCACATCTGCTTCCTGGAAACCTGCAACCGCCACTTCTAACCCAGACAGAGCTCACACTGCAGCCCCAAAGTTCTCAGCCAGTGTGGAACAAAGGGATGGAGGCTGGGGAAGAGCTCATCTGGCCAAATCCCCCCAGTGCAGTGATTCCAGCCTTGGACCAGCAGCAAAATCCGTGCTTAAACTGAGAGTGACGAGTGAAGCATGAGCTCCCTGCAGATGGAGACCTGAAGTTTCACATCATCTTATTCTGCTTTGCCTAAATTTATCTCATAATGATGCAACTACAGCTTCTGAACACCCTCAGGAGCTGACAGATGCTGCCTTTCTGCAGCCCGGACTTTCTATGAAGAGCTCACGCTGAATGCATGTTCAGGAAGAAAACGTGCCAAGAACAATTATTTTTAATCAGAATGCAACATATAATGAAAATCTGCCCTGACAATTTACACAAAAGCCCGATAATTGACTCGATTATCCTCCCTTCTGAAAGCTCTCCTCTGTTCACAAGCTGAGTGCTGACCTGCTCATTAGTCACAGACCCAAACTGGGCAAAGTTGAGCTTTTCCTAATTTCACAGAAAATACTTTTCCCTTTGTGTGCAGAGAGAAGAAAGCACTTTGAACGTGCCCTGCTGCTGGCAGGCAGATCCCTCTGCTCCCAGACTACATCCCTTCACTCCTGGGAGCATTTTTTAACTATAGCCAGGATTTTTGCAGACCTGCTGATCAGCAGTTACCTTTCTCACAAAACCCCACAAACATAAAATCTCCCACTGCAGTGCTCCTGGTAACATTCTGGTTCTCCTGCTTGGAGATTTACTGACTTCTACACCAAACACAATCTCCTCTTATATGACTGAGCTCCTGCCCCAGCAGTCATGCTTAGCAGGTATTTATATACCATTATTGTACATCTTCTTCAAAAGTACATTTCCCTCTGTGCATATTAAAGGAGGTAGCAAAAAGCCAGTAAAAGGTAATTTAAAGAGAGTTTTTTGATCGCTCTCATTTGAAAATATTCTCATCTACAATTCTCCCAAAATTATTCTCTTATGGATGTAAGAAGGTACTGTCATTGACTCTCACTTGGATGGATGGGATTTCTCCTACATTCAACACTCTGACTTATAAGAAGGCCAGAAATTCTCATCTGTGACCTTCGTTATGAAAAACTCCTCAAAGAAACACCCCTGGCTTGTCTGAGCACTGTAAGCTCTTCAAATTTCACAGCCTCTGACAGACACTTCCTCTGCTCTGGCCTGCCTTAACCTGATTTTGAGGATATGACACTTCAGACTCCACACCACATTTTATTTTTAATGAATCAACTTGTCACTTAAGTCTTACCTGTATTTCAAACCCAAACGTCTCTTTATCTTCTTTCAATATAGCAACGAGGTGCCTGCACGAGGAACACACAGAATTCCATGGGAATGGAGGGTGCTGCTCTTGGTGGGGCTGCATTTCCACCCAGAACAGGGGTGTCACCTCATCACCCCTCCCTGTGCCTGCAGGTGTCACCTCATCACCCCTCCCTGTGCCTGCAGGTGTCACCTCCTGTCCCTCCCTGTGCCCATGGGATGTCACCTCCTGTCCCTCCCTGTGCCCACAGGATGTCACCACGCTGTCCCTCCCACGGTGCCTCTTCCCCTGCTCAAGCCAAAGGTCCCAACTGCACCTGCACCTCCCAGGTGCTGGGTACCACTCTGTGCCTCACACCCTGATCCCACCTGGGCTGGCACAGTGCCAGGGACACACCTTTCATGCAGAATAAGCCAGGAACAGTGACTCTAGAAACCCAAAACCCCAGAATCCCGGAATTACAGAATCACAGAACCCCAGAATTCCAGAACCCCAGAACCTCAGAACCCCAGAACCTCAGAATTCCAGAACCCCAGAATTCCAGAACCCCAGAACCCCAGAATGTCAGAACCCCAGAATTCCAGAACCCCAGAACCCCAGAACCCCAGAACCCCAGAACCCCAGAATTCCAGAACCCCAGAACCCCAGAACCCCAGAACCCCAGAACCCCAGAATTCCAGAATTTCAGAACCATACCTTTGTGGTTTGGAGGAGTCATCCAAGGAGCTGGATCTGGCCAAGACGAGCTGTGACCAGAAACAGGAGAGGAAAGGCATCAGTAGTTTGTGGTTCTTTGAGGCACACGGATAAACCCAGCAGTTTTGAGAAGAACTAAAAGCAGTGGAGGCATCCCACCAGCACCTTGCACCAGCACAGCCTCTGCCCTAGCCAAAAGAGGCCTTGGACTTTCCCACCAGGAGGAAAAGCATCTGCAGGTGAAATCCCCCTGTCAGATGCTGGTGGTGACAAATCACATCCCTGATGTGCCAAGAGCCCATCTCACTTTTCCCTCTAGAAATCTGTGGGCATTTATAACCTGAACAGCTGCCGGGAGAGGCACAAAGCAGCCCCAAGCAGGGGAGTGCACACAGTGAGCCCTGCGGTGTCTGCACAGCCTCTCCCAGCCGGCAGCCAGGGCTCCTGCTCCAGCCTGGGGACACCTGAGCCTGAGAGCTCTCTGGGAAGGGCCGGGTCACTCTTAAACACGGGTTCTTCCCATACAAGTGAGCCATGAGTAAGGAATTCCATTATCACTGAGGTGTTTGTAGTCAATGCAGCTGATGTCTGGGGCTCCAGCAGGATAAAGTGGTGACCTCCGACAGAAACAGCGACTTCGCGGACTTCATTTACTTGCCAAGGGACGAGTTGAGGAGAGAGGCCGTGTACAATCCGTGTGGGAGGAGATGAGAGGGCTGATAGCCAGGGGCACCGGGGCCAGGGTGCTCTGGTGCCTGCAGTGTCACCTCGGCCCTGGCTCAGCTTTCCCTGTCACATCACGGCTGTCACCAGGGCTCCGGCCCCAGGAGCTGCTCCCTCCCGGCAGCCTGCCTGTCCCTAACACACGCACCAGAAAGGGTTAAGTGTCCCTCTGCAGCCGAGCAAAGCAAAGCCTTCAGCGCACAGACATTGCAGGCTATTTTCCTGCCTGTACTTTCAGATTATCCCGTCCCACAGACATTTCTGTTCAGGTTTCTTCACTCCACACAGGCAGTCCCGGGCCGGAGCGGCTCAGCCGAGAGCAGTACCGCTGTGTGGGGATGCCGTGGGGATCGTGCTGCCCTGTGCAGCTCTGGGGACAAAGCCCAGCCCCAGAGAGAGCCCCGGCAGCCGCCACAGCCGCCCAGCACCGCTGCCACAGCCGCGGCTCGAGGTGTCACTGCTGTCACCGCTCGGGGCAGCCGGACCCCTGCCTGGGGAAAAGGCGCTTTAAAGGAGCCCCCGGAGCGCACAAACCCTTCTGCCAATGCAGGGGAGCTCGGCCGGGGCCGGAGCTCAGCCTCCACCGCCCTCCGCAGCCCGAGCATCACCGGCAGAGCTCCCGGAGCCCCGCTCAGCCCGTACCTGCCTGCGGGCCCAGGGCTGCATCCTCCGGCCGTCCGGAGAGCCCGGGCCGTGCTGCAGCAGCCGCCGCAGGGCCATGGCCCCCGGGCCGAGCGCTGAGCCACGGCCGGGGCTGCGGCACCGGGGAAGGGAGAGGGCGGAAGGGGCTCCACGTGATGTGTGGTTGAGGTGCGAGTTACACAAATCCCTCCTAGCACAGCCCCGGGATCTCGCTGTGCCTTGTGCTCACACCGCGGTTAACAACCCGGCTTGGCACTTACAGAAATCTGCTGAATTTTTCCATTCCTGAGCACAATCCTCACCAGCGGCTGCTGCTCTCCCTGGATCTGTCCTCACAGCCCTGCCTGCCTCGGGCACTCGCCCGACCTCAGCCCGTTCATACTCGGACTTGCTCGGCGTCCCTGGCATCCCTGAACTCACCTTTTGGCAAAGACGGGGAAAACAACGCGGCTTTTGGCTGATGGTGTCAGTGCAGGGCCTCCAGCTGCAGAGGGAAACGGGAGCTGCAAGTGTGGCAGAGCCAGGGCACGACAATGCCCTCGGGACAAGCTCGGGTCTCCGTGGGGAACGAGGACTCCCCTGGCACAGCAGGTCTGGGGACACACAGCAAAGTCCACGGAGTGTCCAGGACGGGGCACAGGGGGCTGCTGTGGCACAGCTGGGACAGGCCCGGTGCCAGGGACAGCCCTGCACCTCTCCTGCATGGCCAGAGCTCGAGGAAGATTTCTGACTGAGAATTCTGGCTGGTTTTTCTCTCCAGTTATTGCCTGACCTGTCATTATTTCAGCATGGCTTTGAGTAGCCTCAAATTTCCTGCTCGGGGATGTGCTGGAGCAGCACAGGAAGCAGCCCTGGGCCTGGGGGTCACTGCAGAGCTGCCTGTCCCTGCTTGTCCCCGCCTGTCCCTGCCTGTCCCTGCCTGTCCCTCCCTCTCCCTGCCTCT